AAATGTTTCTGAGAGATATTAAAGTAGATCTAAATACAGTTATTTCAAATTCATGGATTATAAAATAAGTATTGTTAAGATGTCAGTTATCTCAGATTCAACGCAGTTCTAGTCATAAGCCAGCAGACTTTTGTAGAAATTGAAGAGATGATTCTACAATGTATGTAAAAAAGCAAAGGACCTAGAATAGCTAAAATAATTTGGCAGGAAAAAAGTTAGAGGACTGATACTACCTGACTTCAAGACCCATTAGAAAACTCTATCAATCAAGTGTAGGAGATAAATCTTTATGACCTTCAAGTAGGTAGAGTTTGCTTAGTAGAACAAAAACGCATAAATTATAAAAGAAAATAGACAAATTTCATTTCATCTCAATTAAAAATTTTTTTGTTCTTCAAAAGTCACCTTTATAAAACTGAAAAGGGAAACCATAGACCAGGATATATTACTAATACACCTGTCTGTCAAATGACTTGTATCCAGAATGTATAGACAATGTCTACAATGAAATAATAAGAAAGATAATCCAATTTTTAAAATGGAATCAAATAATTTAATCAATGCTTCAGTACAAATGACCAATAAACCTCTTCATTGGTCATCAGGAAAATGCAAAACAAAACTACAATTGAATATCACTGTACATCAATGTGCTTGCTAAAAAGAAAAAGATTGATGATGTAAATGTTGGTGAGAATGTGGAATAGCTAGAACTCCTACATTATTGGTGAGAGTGTAAAATGGTGAATCACTTTGGAGAAGTTTTCAGAAGTTTATCCAAGGTTAAATATACACTTAACATGGGGTGTCAGAGGATGACATGGTTAGATGGCATCACCAAGTCAATGGACATGAGTTTGAGCAAACTCGAGGAGATAGTGAAGGACAGGGAAGGCTGGCGTGCTGCAGTCTATGGGGTCACAGAGTCGGAAACAACTTAGCGACTGAACAACAGCAAATAACATGTGATCTAACCATTTCATTCCTAGATACTTACTCAAGACAAATGAGAATGTATATCCACACAAAGACTTATGCAAGAATATGCATAAGAGCTTTATACATAATTGTTCCACTGGGAACATCACAAATGTCCATCAGCAGGTCAATAGATCATCTGTGTTATATTTCCATAATTGGACACTATTCAGAAATAAGAAGGAATAAACTGCTAGTACATACAGCAACGTAGAGTGATGTCAACAATGTAACCCTGAGTGAAAGAAGCCAGACACAAAATAGTACACATTGTGTGATTCTATTCAAATGAAGTTCTAGAACAGGTTCACTAATCTATTGTCATAGGAATTACAACAAGGGCTTCCTAGGATGGGAGCTAAGGGGCACTGGATATGGATTTGTATCAGAATTAGCTGCAAAGAGACATGAGAAATCTTTCTGGGGTGATGAAAGTGGGGTAATGGAGATGTTCTGTATGGAATATGAGATGCTTAAATGAGGGTTTGTCAAAGATCATACATTTTATTGCTTGTAAATTGTACTTCAGTAAATTTGAAAAGCAAAGACATGTGTAAACATTAGCAGAATAATCAGGTTGGCAGCTGTTGGGCTGAACCTCACTGGTGTGAAAATAACCTCGTTCAGATTCTTTCCAGACAAAGTCATCTAAATGGAATTTTGGATTTTATGTTGTTGGTCCTTAAAGTTCGGTCTCACAGTCTGAGATCAAGCCTGTAATGAGTAACCGTTCTAGATAAGAAAGAGGAGGCTTTTCTATCCATTGCTGAATGGTTGTCTTATTGAGGAGCTAATCAGTTTTGAAGCCTTCTGCCAAGTCTCTGATGGAGACCTCAGGAGCAGTGAGTGCTGCGCCTGGCTTGGGTTAGCTAAACTGGGCACCACTATACAGCCTTTATCCACTCCAAGCTCAGGGTCCTCACGAGTGAAAACAGGACAGTAATTGTGTAAGGATGAAATGAGATATGTGTGTAAAAGTAGCCAGCAAATTGCTTGGCACATAGTAACCACCACACTCTGTCATTCTATTACTTCTTATTGATGGGTTTTTTTGGTTTGGTTTTTTTTTTGAGAATTGCTCATTTTTATAAATTGAGCTAGGGAATGCACAGAGTTGTCAGAATGGGGATGGGAAGACTTGTAAATATAAAATAAATGTCTTTATCTCACCATAGGTAACTGATCCTCCTTTTTAGGAGTCAAGATACTGGTACCTGTCTCTATATTAGCTATGTCTCCTTCAAGCCAACTTCAGCAAACAGGAGTTTATGGGTTCACAGAACTGAAAAATCCAGTGTCTTATATTCCAGTAACCCTGCAACCCCTAATAATTCCAACAGGAGTCCCAGGTTAAGTCTAGGGGGCTTGTTTGGGTCCCACATATGAACCAGCTGCAGTGTGGATAAGAATGGAATACACTACTGTGATAGGGCCACCAAGAGCCAGGAGCCAGGTCAGCACGACCAATCCACAAAGGAAGAGAGAGAAAGACATGATCCCCAAAGGAAAGCATGGCTGCCTCTCTGTTCTATCAATATTCTGTGTATCTTGCAAATGGCTCCCGGCACTAGGAATTGTTCTCCACAACAGATATCACACTGAGTACTGCAGTAGAATACCCACAAGAAGATTAGTGTTCTGGGGAGAAATGAACTCTTGGGAAGCTGTCTGCACATCACAGGGCCCTTCACTCAGTTTTCACATCTATTCCCAGTGAGGTGCCACTTCTTAAAATTCCTGAGAAAAAAAAAGACTATTTCTAATAAGCATCCATGACTTTGTCGTGTTATTAAATAGACTTTGGAATCTCTTTCCTTCCATGTAAACAGAGTTTGGGTTTATTAGGCACCACCAGTGAAGGTGGCTTAGTTTAGAGGAAGAGAAGGAAGGAAGTGTTTGTTTTTTCAGATATTCCAATTTTATAAGAGGGCTATTTGGTCCCTTGGGATACTTTACTTCCTGTTATGAGACCAGTCACATGGGATGAATGAATCAGACCATTCAGTTGGAGGCCATAAATATTAGCTGAATGGACAAGAAAACAAGCCCTCTGTTTTTCAGGTGGCAGCAGAACACGTTCAGATCAATGCTGGCTCTAGGCTGGTGGAATTGCCTTCATTCATCCTTTGGGGCTTTCCCCATTTTACAGAGAACTTCTATGGCCTCTGTGTCATGGACACAACTATCAACCCCTGCTTTTCCTTGCTGGTAGGCAAACATTTTGTTCAAGTATCCAACTCAGCACAAGAGGATTCAGATCACCAAGAAAAGTTCCTGATTAATCTACTTCAGCCAGCACATGGGGTTCCCCAAGGATAGTCAAGCAAAGGGATGGAATAATTTAGATCCCTGAGCTGTGATGGTTCTGCACCTGAGTCTTTTCTATCTCTGGACTTCCCACTCTGTGATTTATTATATATGTTAGTATGAGTCAGGGGTTTCTTTATGTGTAGCCTATACTCATACGATGTACCATCCCCAGTAAGGAATTCACCTTTATTCTGGCAATGCTCAGTTAAGAATGCTTTTCCCCTTACCTACCTGGGCACTAGAACCTAGGCTGCAGTTTTCTATTGAATGAACCCAGAAGTAACTGCCAGGAGTGCTTTTGGCTACAAATATAGAAGGTTACTTAAATACTTGGATGTTTGTCTCATGGAACAAAATGTTCACTGTGGTTAGGGGCTCAGGCAATTCACATCTTTCTTTTTGTCATCAGCAGTGTGTAGACTTCTGACCTCATGTTTGTTGCCTCCATCCTGCAAGTTGGCTTTTAAACCTCCAGATGCCCATCTCATTCAGAAGGAAGGGGTGGTGGCAGCACCCTGTTTCCCTGATGCCTTCAATTTGTGTCTCATGGTGAGAAATGTATCACAGGACATCTCTAGATTCATGGGACTCTGGCAGAGCAAGTGTGTTTAGCCTAAAATACTGCTACCCTAGCAAAATTGAATTTGCCTTATTAAGAAGGAAAAGAATGTTTATTAGGTAGGCGGCTTGCAATGACTGCAACACTAGTACAGATATTTATCTTTAGTTCTTTAAGGAACTAAAGAAGTTCTTTAATTCGGGATTTTACAAAGACAGCAAGAAGATTAGATGAGAAGAACCAAACTCATCCCATGGCATTAACTACTTACAATTAACTTAAGCATGAATAAAGAAGACCCAGGCTAGAAATAACCACAGAGTCTTGTATATTTCTTATCTAAAGGGAATGATGTAAACCTTATCCAGATGCAGCTAAAAGAAATATTGCACCCAGATCTTCCTTATCAGCCTCATTCTGTACCATTCACAGACCTTCTCTGGGTCTCATAATGTTAAATGCTTGTTTCCCTTGAGCAGAGCTGCCAATGATCCATTTATCTATCCATCCATTGTCTCTCCATCCTTCCATCATCTGTCCATTTACTTATTCAATATAAGCTTTCTAAAGTACAGAGTCTTGTCAACAATACTTCTAAAACTTTACCTTTGCTAGTGGTGAGGCTACTGCACAGGTTTCTGTAAATATTCCTTCAATATGCTCCAAAATTCCTTGTTTTGCTGTCTATCAGAGCTGTATGGCTATTTTCTGCCTCCCTGCCTGTCTCTGGAGCAAGCTCCAATCTTCACTGGGCGGGTAGGAGCAGTTTTGTTGTCTGCCCTGACTTTTGACAGGAAGAGAAGAGCTTTGAAGTTGAGGATTACTTGAAAAATCCCCTTGGAGACCTCTTGCTGACTCTTAAACTTAGGGAGAAGTCCGGGGCAGCAAAATTAAGCAATGACTCTCCCCCTTCTCCCCAGTCAGCTCTACTACCCCTTAAGCTCAGGGTTTTGCTGTTGAACCCCATGGGGGCTGTGGTGTTCCTATTTTTACCCAGAGAGAAACCAAGAGCAAGGAAAGTTAAGGAACAACGTAGTATTTCTCTCTTAGGCAAGATAAAGACATCTGCTGTCTCATCTCCAGAAATCCCAGTGAATATTGTTTTGCCAAGAAACGGAGGGAAACCTGCTTCCATGAGCACATGTGAACACACGTAGGTGATTTTCCCAAATGTGTTAGGAGATATCTTGGAAATGCCCAGAGAGATGGTGAACAGGGACATCGTCAGGGGAGGGGCAGAGTGGGAATTACCCAGTAGTCCAGTGGGTAAGACTCCATCCTTTCACTGCCGAGGGCTCAGGTTCAATCCCTGGTCGGGTAGCCAAGATCCCACAAGATGGGAAGTGCCCAAGAAAAAAAAAAGAACCTTAAAAAGGGGGCAGAGGGAGCAGTTTTCTCAGAGCTACTAGAATGCTGCCTCCTGGGCTCGGAGTCCTTAACATTCCCACCATATAAAATAACTGTACTTTCAGATTTTAAAAAGGGTAAGGCAGAGACGAGGTCTTTGGGTTATTTATTGTCCTGCAGCTTGCACCCCAACAACCATTTTATCATGTTTCATGGGTGGTCTAGATAATGGTTTGGCTGGGGATTGGCTGCTGACTGTTCCGTTACTGGTCTCTGTTGGGTTCTTTCTTGCACTTTCTACCAGTGGGCAATTGGGTTACCGCTGGGCTGGATATCTGAGTCTCAGGTGTTCCTCTGTGTGATCATCCTTCATGTGATGACTCATCCTCCAAGTCCTGTCTATGTGGCCTTGTTTTAAGATAAGGGTACTCAGGCTTCCCAGGTAACTCAGTGGAAAAAAATCTGCCTGCCAATGCAGGAGACTTGGGTTCTAACCCTACGTTGGGAAGATTCCCTGGAGAAGGAAATGGCAACCCACTCCAGTTTTCTTGCCTGGAAAATCCCATGGACTGAGGAGCCTCACAGGCTGCAGGCCAAGGGGTCACAAAGAGTCGGACACAACTTAGTGACTAAACAACAACTCAGACATTATACTTGAGAGCTCTGCTGCTGCTGCTGCTAAGTCACTTCAGTCATGTCCGACTCTGTGTGACCCCATAGATGTCAGCCCACCAGGCTCCCCCACCCTGGGACTGTCCAGGCAAGAACACTGGAGTGGGTTGCCATTTCCTTCTCCAGTGTATGGAAGTGAAAAGTGAAAGTGAAGTCGCTCAGTTGTGTCCAACTCTTAGTGACCCCATGCACTGCAGCCTACCAGGCTCCTCCATCCATGGGATTTTCTAGGCAAGAGTATTGGAGTGGGGTGCCATTGCCTTCTCCCACTTGAGAGCTCAGGGCATGGCAAAAGGTTCAGGCCTTCTTAATGCCTGGGCTCAGATTCCTGCAACATCTTTCCTCCAAATTCCATTGGTCAAAGCAGTCATGGGCCAAACTAGATTAGGTGGAGGTAAATGTCTAATGTTTAGGAGTTTTAATGCTCAGACTGTCATTAGGAAAAGGCGGCATACTGAACAAAACTGATCAATTTTACAGCTTGACTCATAGCCAGTACCAATGCCTCCTGGCAGATTCATTTAGGAGACAATCCTGACTTAGGGCTCCTGAGTTGTGAAATAGGGTTATATAAGATTTTGGAGTCAGGCTCAGAGTCAGAGAGGCTTTTAATAATACACTCATTTCCACTCTGTGATTCCACATATGTCTTTAATAATCCTTTCCTTGGGATGACGATAAGTCCTGCTTTAAAACATCTGAAGAAACTGCAGAGCAATGGCCTCATTCTGCTATGGCCAAGGCCGTCTTCAAGACCACGTGTAAGAGCACCCTATTTAAGCAAAATGTGTTGATTATTTTTAGCATAACTTAAGCCCCAGGAGACTAATGAGGTGTTAACAGTGTGTGTTAATTATGTGATTTTTGTTGTCTTCATTAAAGTTACAATTCTCAATCCGATTTGCCACCTGAAATCCCAGAGGAGCCACATTGCTCTTCTGACCCTGGCAGCTTTTATTCCTGCAGTTTGCACAATCACATAAACATATTTTGTTTCCCCTGCAGAGAATAAGATGAGCATGCCTCCCACACTCAGAAGACCTTGGCTACCCCCTTCTTAATTCTTACACATTTTTAATCTCCGTTATGAGCAGTTGGATCTTACAATAAGGTCAAGGTGCAGAATGCTAGCGACATTAGCTCATTGTTGACTGTTTAGAGCAGACTGTCCTTCAACTCAACAGAAAACTGCCAGAGAAGCTAAAAATCAGGAAGAAGGAGAAGCACAAAAATCAGCTTTCATTGCTTTTTGCAGTGTTTTAATTAACTGAGGAATTGTGTTGCATGCACACAACTCTGATTATTTTTAAACTTTTGCAATATATGCTATACCTCTGTCCTGAGTGACAATACATCCCATCCAGAAAAACCTTTTCTCAGGAAGAGATAATCACCTATCCCAGACTCATTTGAAGCAGCAATCAGCATCCCTTTCATGACTTTGTCTGCATCATTGATGTTCTAGAGAGATTTTATTTGGCAATGGTGTTAGGGACCTATTGCAAGTCCAGGAGGTAATGAATTCAGGATTTCAGCTGAAAATGTCTTAATGATGACCTCATTGGGATGAATGAAGTTGTAATGAAAATCGCAGGTGAATCTGACTGGCAAATAGGACATTATGAGTCTTCTTAGTAATTAGAATTGTCTAAAATTGGAATGGACTGTTACATGAGGTAGTGAGCTCCCCATAAAAACATCAGGGATATTGAAGTGAAGGTTCCCTGTCAGAGAAAGGTTAGACTTGATACTCTTTGGGGGTCTCTTTCAACTTTCATCTAGAATCCATGATTGTTCAACTGGAGCAATAGCTTTGACTTTGGAAATTTGCAAGCTGGGTTCCGTGATGAAATATGATAGAGTAGAAAGCCAGGCACTCCTGTATCCCAACCTCTGCCCTGTTACTAGGGTTGTGTTATTATGAGCAAGTGACTCAAACTCTCTGTGCTGTCTAAAATGAGGGTGGACGTATATCGCTTCTAAGGCTGTTTTAAGAGTCAGAAATAATACATTTAAAATACAAGACCCAAGGTAAGCACTCAGTAAATCATAGTTCTGGTTGCTCTTAAGAGTTTAATTCTTTACTTTGTTCTTCATCCTCCACTTCAATGATACAGTCTTATTTGTAAAAACAGAAGAAATGAAGGTCTCAGAAAGTTATTGGTAAAAGATCAAGCTTGTACAATTGAACAATGAAGGCAGAACAAGTTTCATGCTACATCAACAGGTAGAGAGAGGTCACATGCCTAACCCAAGGACTTATGGCCATTCCCCCAATCTGCCTCACCCTCTCTTCCACCAGGGCTCCCGAACTTTCTGCTTTGTCTTCTGTCCGCAGAGCAGAGTCAGTCCAGATGCCAGTTGCCCTCTGGAAGGATGTTCCCACTGATGGTGAATTTAGCTCAACCAATGGAAGCCTCTAGAAAGCTAGCATCTGGAGAACTGAGCTAGAATCTGCATTTGTAGATTTTAAGTTAATTGTGGGCTGCCACTAACTCATTGTTTACCTGTTTACCTATTTATCTTGGGCTTTGTAGAGGGAACACATTCATCTGTTTAGATCTTTGTATCCCCTTTTGTCCACATGGTTCAAAATTTTAAAGTACAAAAAAGGTATACGTGGCACAAATGAAGATATCTACAGAGCAGAAACAAACTCACAGACATAGAGAACAAGGCTTGTGGTTGCCAAGGGGACGGCGGGTGTGGGAGGGAAGGACTGCGAGTTTGGGATTAGCAGATGCAAGCTATCATATATAGGATGGATAAACAACTACATGCTACTGTATAGTACAGGGACCTATATTCAGTATACTATAATAAGCCATAACAGAAAAAAAAAATTTATGTATAACTGAGTCACTTTTCTATACAGCAGAAATTAACATAATATTAAATAAGTCAACTGTATTTCAGTAAAATTATTTTTAAAAGGCATACAACAAGAAAGGCCTCCCTGGTGGTTCAGTGGTAAAGAAACTGCCTGCAATGCCGGAATCCCTGGGTCAAGAGGATTCCCCTGGAGCAGGAAATGGCAACCCACTCCAGTATTCTTGCCTGGGAAATCCCATGGACAGAGGGGATTGGCAGGCTACAGTCCATGGGGTTGCAAAGAGTTGGACACAACTATTGTCTAAACAACCCACCAGCACATACAACGAAAAGGCATCCTGATGCTTGGTTGCCCAGGTACCCCGTTCTCTTTTCCAGAGACAACTAGTTTATACAACATAGTTTATATGTATAGAATCCCAGAGGTATTTTTTTTAACTTGAGGTAAAATTCACATATAGCAATTTTAAAGTGTACAATTCAGTGGCATTTGGTGTATTTACAATGTTGTGCAGTCATCACATCCCTTTAAAACTTTTTCAGCACCCCAGAAAAAGCAAAAGATAAAATTAACCGCTATGTTATCACTACCCATTTCTCTCCCACTAGCCTCCCGCCTTAGTAACCACTAATCTGCTTTCCATCTCTATGAATTTGCCTATTCGGGATACTTCCTATAAAAGGAATCATACAATACATGATCTTTCCTGTCTAGCTTCTTTCACTTATATAGTTTTCAAGGTTCATCCAAGTTGTAGCATGTATCACTACTTCGTTCTTTTTTATGGCTGAATAACATTCTGCCGTATCTATATGCTGTAATTTGTTTATTCATTTATCTGCTGATGAATGACATTTGAGTTGTTTTCACCTACTGATTATTATGAATAATGCTGCTATAGTCATTTGTGTACAAGTTTCCTTATGGTCATGTGTTTTCATTTCTTTTGTATATATACCTAGAAGTAAAATTGCTGGGTCATACAACAATAGAATAGAATTTAAATATTGAGAAATAGGAAGTTTTTAAACATGCAGTTTCCTCTATTTTCACACAGGTGCTAGCAGATTGCACATACTGTGTTGCACTTTGCTTTATCCACTTGACAATGGGCTCTATAGATCTTTGCAATGGTATGGTGGTAAATAGTTAACAACCAGCTTTTGTGAGGTGGGGAGTGCCTTGATTGGTAGCATTTACAGATGCCCGTGGTGTAACTGCTACCATGGTCAATTTCAAGCTGTGTCAGGTCACTGAGTAGAGAGTTAGGAAGAGAAGCTAATTATGTGTGCTCGTGAATTGGTCCAAGCCGCTTCCATCACACAACTAGATCTCTCCGTATCAGAGCATGAAGAGCTGCCTCATTCCCT